AGAAGCAAGTGGAACCCCTATTTCTTCGACAGAATACAATCCCACATCAGAGTAACATTAAAAGATTGTCTGTCTTCAAAAAAAATCCAGAGATACTACATTGGACATCTATGACAGAACTTAGGCAAATTTAGGCCCCCCAGCCAAAACATTTCAAAAAGCTCATATTCCAGTAACCACAAAAATCTATTGCATGTCCAGATTTATTTAGAAGCATTTGGATTGCACAGTCCCTGAAGCAACCAAACTTACTTCTGCCTTCAGCCTACCCAGGAGACCCATATGTCCGTGCCGAAATCAGAAGGCCTCTGATGTGGCAGGCATGCTCGCTTCCTTCTGGCTTCATACTACGGCTCTGTGTGGCCAAGGACCCCTACACATAGAAGGCAACTCAAGGAGAGGAGGAGTCCTCTTTTTCTTCCTTGCCTCTCCTTCCTAAGCAGCCTGTGTCTGGGCTGCAATGGTGCCTATTACCCACCAAGTCTTTGTGCTTCCAACCATGTCGTGGTTGTGACTACATGTGAAATGGTCCCCCTTTTTGTTTGTTGCCCAGGCTCTGTCTCTCACTGTACAGATATTTGAGGTATATTTATGCCCTCCTCTCTGAGTGGAAATAAGAAAGTCCCTCTTGTCTTTTCCCATGCATTCATTCTCCAGTTTTAGCATTTACTCACCTCTTGACTTGGGTACCTAACACCCATGAACCAAGTTTAAAGCCTTTCTTGTTAGGTTAGCAGGTCTGTTCACAAACACATTCCCTCCTTCTGAGGGAAAGAGTCATCATAACTGATGATCATAAAAGCTGGTTTTGAAATTAATTGTCCTGTCATTGAGCATATTTGTAAAGTCTATTCTCATTGTTAGACAGAATCCTACATCAGTCTTTGTTTTAGAGTACTGAAGCAACCTGTCCCTTGTCCTCTCCCTGTTGTAAAAACTGATGGAAGATAAGCATGAAAGAAACATTTCTTTTTTTTCCATTAAGAGGTAATTAACCCAAGCCTTCAATGCTAATTACCTTCTGCGAATTCCAAAATCTATGCATAGTCATGGAAGATGTTAATTGATGTGGATAGCAACAACAACCAAAAAAGTACTGTTTCCCAAGCCTCACTGTATTAGTTAACTGTAGGATCATGCTGGGATGGAAGTGTCAAGAGTTTTGTAGGTGAAAGTGAGAGACAAACTGCTGACCAGCTGATGGGACCTTGTTAGAGGGCTAATATCTTGCCCTAGGGTAAATGTAGGGACTTAATTTCATTCTGAAGGCTGCAGTAGAAGGGCACTTACACTCTCTCACCGATACCTCCTGCTCCTAGATGCAGGCCCTCTTTTCCCATCATTTAGCTTCCAGGACTCTCTTTTTCATAACTCTGCCTTACCCAGCCTTCTTGCTCCCCTCCAGGAATCTCAGTCCCCTGCAGTTTGTGCACAGACAAGAGTTTGGCTTTGTATCAGTTATTTGCTGAGGAGAGGCAGGAATTTCATTAGCAAGAAGGAAACACTGTGGCCTGCTTTTAACCTTACCCTTCTGCTTTTGGAGCAAAGAGGCTTGCTCACTCTCAAATGAACTACTCTGGTGAAGGGGACCCAGTGTGGAGGCATGGACAAGATAGGCAGAAAGTTCATGTGCTCGGGACTGCTCAAGCCTGGTATTGCCAGTATGTGAGATAATGCTAATTAGTGCATAATGATATTAGTATTGCGTGATACTGCCTATATTTACAGTGCAGTGCTAGCATGATAGTGGCATGCTGGCCAGCATAAGTCTGCCCAAAGAAGCAGCTGGAACATCCATTGGTTCTACAGAACAGCTCCAATGGAACCTGTCATCGGGAGGGCAGGAGCTCCAGGATCCCGAGACAGTCTGCTAAATGAGCAGGATAGATCAAAGCTGAATTATTTCTGGGAAATCTCTATCTCTATGGGAAAGATAGTGAGTGTATATGTGTAGTCATTGTAACTGTTAAGCCCTCTCAAGGTCTAGGAGGACAGATACCAGTGCCAAAGATAGACCAGTGCCATACTTCTGAATAGGGACAGGAGGTCGAAGAAATTCCTTCTATGAATGAGTCAGAAACACTGTTCTTCCACTGTTTAGACAGTGATATTATCAACTTAATGATCTTTTCATGAGTTAATGGTATATGCATTGAGATACTGATACCTGAACGATTACACAGATAAGAGTTTTGTAATTGTCTTTTATTACAAATAATTATCCTACAGATCATTTTACCATTGCTTGGAAAACATGAAATAATTGATCTAGGATGTATACTACAATTTTCTTAGCTGTTTGCAGTTCAGGCATGAGGCCCTCCTTTTAACAGCTAAATTCTTAATACTTCGACTAAAGAATCTCATCAGGCTTAAATTCCCAGTCTACATCCCCATAATGTTCAGAATCACCAAGGTTAGAGCTGGAAAAACTTTTACATCTTGTCTGGAGCAGTGCAAGCCAAAGATGGTCACTATAGCATATTTGTTAATGTTTAGATTTTTCATATGTGTATGAGCTATGTAAATTAATGTGGCTATTAGGGTATAGCTGTGTGACTGGAAAATATTTTAAGGCATATCTTAAGGTTGATAGCCTTGTAGATTCTCATCTACCTCTGCTTACAATCCCTAAGTGTTTTGCGATAAGCTAGTATTAGACTTAAGCCAGGAAAAACCTCATTTCCAATCAGTAAGGAAGGTTTTTTAAATAACCTATTCTTTTCCTCTGTGTTGCTTAAATTGTGAGTTCTCAAGCTGGCCTATATGCAGAGGTATTTTATTTTCTGCAAAATTCACTAAAAGACAGCTAAGCCTAGATTTCTTACGTTAAACTTCCATGTAAACAGTTGTTATAGATAACCAAGGGTGATCACACAATTGCAAGTCTACAGGAAGCTTATTCCAAAGGCAAGAATGAAAAGGGATAGTGCTCTGTACTAGTGTCAATGAGTGGAGATGGGGGTCCTTATCACAGAGCTGTCTGAGAACCTGTTCAAAGTTATTGAGGAGATGCCATAGGCAGGCTTTTAAATTTATACGGCAAAACCCAAACTAATTCTGTTGTAAAGAAAACGTCATTAGTGTATTTTGTAAGTATAAACCTTATATATCTATTTGTAATGTTTATCACAGTGAAAATGCAGCATATTCTGTTTGTCTCTAGTATTTGTCTGCAAATTTCCAAACCGGTTCCACTATTTGCAAATATTGAATATTTGTAAAATACTCCAGGCTAATTATTTGCGCGTAGTTCATTTTAGTATTCACCATTTGTGGCTGAGCAATTAGATGCTTATCCATTGGGGTAATCTAATTTAATATGTTTTAAAAATTGCTTTGCTGAGTCAGAGCTCAGCTAGTATAACGTTTTTAATTGGAAAATAATAGAGAATAAGTTATGACTGGTGCTTAATGCCACCTTATAATTACTGAATAAAATGTAGGGATATTTAAATGTCGTTCTAATTGAATATCAATCAAATGTCGTTCTAATTGAATATAAATCACAGAAATCTTTTTAAATGCCAAATAAGATGATCTTTAAACACCAATGAACAAAATAACTTATTCAGAAATAATACACATCTCTGTCATTGTTTAGCTGATTATAACACTAATCTGTACTAATAAATTAAATTTCATTCCCAGCCCTTTCAAAATCTTTTACAAAATGTCATATCTGTAACTCAGAAATGCTTATTTTAGCATAACTCTAAATATTTTTATTAATAGTGGAATGAGGAAACCTTTACAATTACTAAATGCAGAAGTTTTAGATTATACTAAAAATCTTTCAAAAAACCATTAAAAGGGCAATTTTCAACTTAAGCAAGTTTATTAATGCTTTCAATCTCCTCTAGGCCATTCTTGTGTGAAAAACATTTTTTGAACTTTAAAGAAACTATCCAGATACAAAAATTTCATGTAAACAAATGTCTAAGCATGAGGGAACATTGTGGTTTATGAAATATCAGTGAGAGCAAAGTAATGCTCCCTTGGAAGAAAAAAAAACCCAGAAATTTCATAAGGCAGAAGGGTATCATTTTAAAAATGGCTGGTAAGGTGAGGTGAGGAAAGGCTGGAGACAGGATCTGATCTCTACTCATGCTGAAGGCAATGCGCTTTTTGCCATTAACTGTGAATGGTGAATGTCATCCAGCTGTTTCATATTACAGCAGCAGAAGAAGCTTTTTCATGTGCTTTCAGAATCCGTCATATACCCAACTTAGCTAGCGGTAAAAACAAATGTAAAGAAGAATGTTGACTGACTTTTTACTGTAAAGCTTATTCAGAAGTTTAAACAGAACTTCTGGGGTTTGTTACTAAAACAGTTTTTTTTCTTTCTAACCTGAAAGGTGATCAAATAATTGGTGTATATATAGCACTGTCTAGCAAGTATCAGTGCTAACTAATGAGTGATAGTTATTAGTTCTTCTTAGTAAATTACATTAACTAACATTAAGTAACATAATGCTGCACTGGCATGTCACCCAAGTTTACAAATGAAAAAATGTTGCAAAATAAAAAAGATTGTCTACAAAGTTCAAATCAGACGGAGAGGTCAAGTAGACAGATAGCTTTTTCATAATTAGATTGCAATGACTAAACATTTAGGCACTGTTACCTGCATGTTTGCTGGAAATGATGTCAGAAGTCATTAATAGGTCAGGTCTAAGCACTTTTCTAAAAGTTTGAAATAGTCAGATTTGGCTTTGCTTGTTCTGTGTTGCATTTTGTAGGGGATGGTTTCCGAGAATATGGTATTTATTTTTAGAAGAGTGACTTGAAATACAGAAGACCTCCAGTTAATATCTAGCTGACAGATCTGATACTGACTTACAGTCAGACGTTTTTGACAATTTTAACATGTAATAATATAAAGCAGTACCAGTGTTGCCAGCTGAGTGTCTTCACACACAAAAACCTGCATAAAATATTATTTTTATATGATAAATGACGATGGTTGTCCTCTCAAAAATCATACCTTTTTTTTCCAGTCTAAAACATATATGTGCAGTTGGCAAGGGGATACCCTGTGTTTCACAGTCGACTTTGCTCTGGGATTTACCTGTTTTGACAGTAAAACAAAGGTAAGACGAAAAAGAAAACATAACTCTGTTTTGGTTTACTGTTATTGAAGTTATTAGTAACTGTAATTTTTTATGTTGATCATTAATGGTAATTTTTTATGTTGATATTGAGTATTTCTTCCTCAAATGTACTGTACTTTTTATTTATATAGCACTACTGAAATGTAGTCAGTTTGGGACTTGAAAGGGACAATATAGTTGTGCCTTAGCATGTAAAGATAAATTTTGGAGAAAGATATAAAAAAAGTAATTTCCTTTTCAAGTAATAAAAGCAAAGGAAGGTTATATTTAACAGAGAACTTGGTTTCTTGTAATGAAGAAATTCCAAGATTTTTAAAAGATTACCAGTCATTAAAAAAATGAAGTGTCACCTGATTCTATTTGTTTTCAAGCTACAGATATAAGATTAGATATTCTTCCATCGTAAGAAATTTAGGCCATGTCTAAAATAAACAGACCAAGGGCAAATGCATTTCAAAGTCATAATCTATAAGATTAAGTTCACTTATCTTGCAGAACAGTGGCTATATACAAAGTGCCTACAGGGAATGGTTTATGACACATACCAACTTCCAAGCCCTGTCTATAATTCTACTATTTTATATATAATTTAGTGATACTTTAATTTAAATTTTTCTAAATGGATTTATACATTTGGATTTATACATTTGTTTACCAGCAGAAGTAAACATACATTCAAAAAATGTTTCTGCATTAATAGAGCTGTGTAGTAGAAGGTGTGTCCTCTGAAATATGGTCTTCAGCTCCAAACTGAAAGGATTTTTTGAATATATATTAAAGAAATTCAGTCAGTCATTCTGAGTTAAGAGGAAACATACTGCTTTTTGAAATATTGACACAGGATCTAGTTTTTGTGTGTTGGTGTTTTGGGGGTTTTAGGCCAAAATGCACAAGTTTATTGAAATTTTTGTGCAGAGAAATAATGACCGAGATCATTGTTATTTGAAAATTTAGACTAATTGCATTAAGTGTGCTATCCTATGAGGTAGCATAAAATCTCAGGAAATACGTTTGCATACCTTTCTCTGCCTCATGTGATAATGTATTCTGAAATTGTGCTTTTTCCACAATTGTACACATTTTGTGTGTAGCCACAAATGAACTATAGAAAGTAATCTCATTAGTTTGGACTATAGAAAATGTTTCTTTTAAATGTGAAGATTGATTGGGTGTACTCCCACCTTTAAAATTATAAACTTGTCTATTGATAGGACTTTAAGCCACAGTGCCTACCTTCAGTATTGATGATGAGGAGGATTTAGATCAACCTTTGTTGCTTACCTAAAGAGAAATACAGAATACCATCAGATAGATTGATTCTGTCATTAAAATTCTGTTGTAAAAATTATGGAGAGCTCAAGTGCGTTTATTGTTTATCTGTGTGAGAGATGGAGATGTCCTCTGCATCCTCAAGCCTGAGTGAGGCAGTAATAGGTGGCTTCCACCGTTCATCTTGCTTCCATAATTGTCTGCTGGAGTTGACTGTGTTGCCCCATACTCATCGCTTTTTCAGAATATTTCCTACCAACACTGAATAGATTGTTGAAGTGGTCAATCAATTATCAGTTTATTAGGGACACAGCAATTTTGCTGAAAAATTTATTTTGCCTTTGAGATAATGAATTTCAAATTAAAGTCACCTATTGATGCAAAGAATGCTCTTACACCACAGCAGGCGTTCATACAGGCTTATTAAAATAAAGGCCAGTCCCCTGTCTGCTCTACGACTCTAGGCCTGGATCTCAAAATTTGGGCAACCAGCTCATGTACTTGTTAAAAAATGTTCTTTACAGTCTGGAAAATAACATAGAAAGGTTCTTATTGTTCTTATTACAAATGACAAAATAAAAAGGGCAAGATCTGAGCAATCTGATCTAGTTGAAGATAGAATCACAGAATCATAGAATAGTTTGGGTTGGAAGGGACCTCTAAAGGTCATCTAGTCCAACCCCCCTGCCATGGGCAGGGA